TGAGGCTTAGGAAGGATAATTATTAGATATGTTGATGGCATGATGTAAAGAAGGAAGGTTAACATCTGAACCCAAACCAACAAGGTAAAAATCAAGAACAATAAAAGTAAACTTTTGCCTTTAGGTACTCCCTCCCCCAAATCAAAAGATAAGATGGGAAATATATCAAAGGTATAGCATGGAAAAGGTCTGGCTTGGCACTAGTTTTTCAAAATAGGTGACAATGACTCAGAAATTGGACACGAATCACCAATTTGATCTACTCCTAAGAAAAAGCACAGTGTTCAAATTGCAGGAAGTTAATACTTTCACTCTATTCTATGTAGGCCATTTTCTAGGAATCCCATTTTACAAGTGATAAACTAAAGGACTTCCAAAGAAGAGCAAGCAGGATGATTATGAATCTCAAAACTGGTTTCTGTAAAGTACAGTAAAAAGAGCTGGGCTTGATTAGCTTTGAGAGGAGAACATTAACGGGATAGTTGTCTTAAAGTATCTGTGAGACTACCATGTATACAAAGGATTTGTTTTTAAGTATTCCAGAAAGCAGGACTAGAAATAATAGGTGAAAACCACAAGGAAGGAGATTTGAGAAAACATTAAAAGAAATTTTCTAAGGGTGAGACTACATTACAACAGAAGAGATTAGCTCAGGAGACAGTGGACTCTCTTTCACTGCAGTTTCTTCAAGGAGAGTATGGAGTATTTTTTGCCATTTATCCAATACTGCAGATTCTGTACTACTCAAAGTTGGACTTGGTTACCTAGCTACCTAACCAAGGCTATGATTTTGTGGGTTGTCTCATCAAGCAACAATGAATTGTTAGCTATTCAAGGTATTTGTAGTATTGTTACCATTGTCACAAGAACCAATTTAATTTCTTTCTTGGATACCAAATGTATCAATTGTTAAGACAAGTTTTATAGTTAATAAAGAAAAAAAGTAGAAGACTGGAATATTTACAAAAACTAAAATACCAATGAAAGGGAACTGCAGGAGAAGGAAGAGAAAAAGAACAGATTAAGAGGAACAAGAAAGAAAATACAATGCAGTGAAGATGAGATCACATAACAGCTTGGGAACATAACAACCTCTTAAATGATGTTCTGAATATGATATTTTATTAGAAGTAATTTAGTAGAAGGCAATGAACAAAAAGCAAGGGTTTTTTTTCCTTTTCTATTTTATTGTAGAGAAAAGAAATACATTCCAGTTCCATTTTTTTCCAAGAGTAACTGCATCCCTACTGCTGGGGAAGAAACATCACCATTATCATCTTGATTTTAGTTTTAGAAATTATCACACAACATATCAAGCAATTCATTTTTTATTAAGAGTGGGCAGATAGTTTTTTCTGGAGCTTACAGAAGGATGAGTAGGCTGTGCTCTATACAACAAATGCATGGGTTATGAAATATATAGCGCACAATCCTAATGACTCAAACTAAGTTTTGAATGGTCTACACAGTAAGATGACATTTGTCTGCATCTTTATGACTTGACATAATTTCCTCCTCCTTGAAGAGTTCTGATACCTCAAAGAAGAATTTAGAAGGCAATCAGTAACTTAACTAAGATGCCCTCAGAAAATATGAATCATATCCAGTGGCTGCAACTGGTGTTAACCAGAATATTTCTTTTGAGTTTCTGAGAATACTGACTAGTGATTGCCAACTCCAGGTGAAAGTAATCCTGAAGGTTCCAGTGCCATAAATGGTGAAATACGAGCATGCATAAAAGTATATTTGCATACATATATACACCAAAAGCCACACCCCAAAAAGGGTAGGATCAGGACAGTAAATAACATGAACTGTATTAAATGCTACTGATTAGAAATGAATTGTCTGTAAAATGTATGTGTTACTTGTAAAATTGACACTCCCCCCATCTGCATACTTTATCGTACTTTCTCTTGGTTACATACACAGACAATAATCAATATAATTATTGCATTTTATCCTTCCAGCAGAAACAGATTAAAAAAATCAGGATGGAGATGAAATAATGCTATGAACTAGGAAACAAAGGAAAGAGAAAAAAAAATTCAAATTTTGAGCAGCAGGCATGAGCCCTACCTCTTCTAACAGCATCTTTTATTCTGAGTGAAAGTAAGATGACAGTTCATTATTTGGGACAAAGTGATTTTCCTGTCAGGTAAATGTATTGTATTTGCTTCTTGAGAATTAAAATTCAGGTTATATGTAACAAAGTGAAGAAGAAAGGCATAAAAATACAGAGGGAAGAAAGAATTAGAGAAGCAGATCTCTGTATAAAGATGCCTGAAACCAACCAGAGAGTCAGCAGAGGTGGTACATTGGGTAGGTGTAGCAACCATGAAGGTCCCCAGTGACAGCAACCTTTTCCTTATCCACAGCATATTGAGCTTTATTCTTGTTAGATGCAGATGGCAGTATGAGACAGTAACATCCTTTGCTTTTCCTTTTTTTAGCTAGCCAGAAGCCTGACATTTAAAACTCATCATGTAGAGGAATGACAGGAGGCACTTAAAGACAAGCGACTAGAGCAACAGGAGAGGTTGACATAAGTAGATGATAAGTAGCATGTGTAGCTCATGGTTGAAGACAGGTAGAACAAGCTGCCACATATGCCACAACCAACAAACTCCAGTCCCTTGAGTCCAAAGTACTGATGATATTATCTAATTCGGTGATGAAACACTTGCAAGAAAACTAAGCTCAGTGAACCTCAACTTCAACTAATTTAAGCCTCGAACCCATCAGCTAAGCACCTCTGACACTGAATAACAATTTTCAGTTTAGTGGACAGAGTTATGCAGAATTTAAATCAGCTTCATGCTGATTTTTCCCTAGTGCTTAATTATCTATGAAGCTAAAAATAATTAAATAATTATTAGGGGGAAAAAGATAGTGAATGTCATTGGGAACTGGCTAAGTTACCATATACCATTTTCCCATGGAGGATTTTTAGACACTTTCCAACTGGCCAGGTTTCTAACTACTTTAAGGGAGCAAAGGGCTCATCTCAATGTTTTACTATCAGTGGTTTAGGAGAGTAAATTTTATAAAATCCTACGGGATATGAGATCTGCCTTTGTAGCTCAAGGGAGGTTGACTCTGTGACTCTATGGTCTATTGTATTGCTCATTTCATTGCAGTATTCATGCCCCTCACATCACCCTATTTTTTTAACATTGGACCACATAGATCTAATATATTTTCATCAGGTATATGGATCTTGCCAACATATTTCTCATGTTAAAGTTTGATTTGCTTTGGTATACTGTTATTATGGACTAGTCAATAACTGTAACAATGATGTCCCTGAACCTGCCTCTCAATATTGCTAAAGGAAGAATATTAAATTAGGTGGATGTAAATGCTAGGTAGTATTTAGGAAAAAACAGTTGCTCAAGGTACTTTACTGGAGTCATGGTTGCCTGTTAACAGTATTTGTGGGGCAGCATTCACAACTGTTTGTTAACATCTACCAAAGTCTGTTTTAGTGCAACAGTGGGGAAAACCCAGACTGAAGAAGCATTTTCTCCTTGATCTCGTACTTCCAAGTGAATATAAAACTCTCAGACAGGATTAACAACCTTCAGCTGCTATTTACTAGGACATTAAATGGCAATGACTCTTTATATCCTTTACTAGAACAACCCTCAAAAAGGTAAGGATACAGGAAAATTAATGAAAGATAAAAATCAACATGTTATAGTGGCCATAAACTAAATTCAAATTATAACTAGAATAGGTCAGCTAATGAAAGAAGCTTCTGCAGAAGGTGACTAAGAATTATGCTCTTTTCAGACAAATAGGAGGTGCTGACTTTAAAAATATGAAGGAAATATAAAAGCAATCCATTAACCTAAAAAAAGACCAAAAGGGTATCACAGAAAACTTTTACAAACTAGTCAAGATATAATTCACTTTACTTGATTGCTTTCCATTTCAAGAATAAGCTCTCTTTCTCACACATACATATACCACATCATTTAAATCTCTGTTGCAGCTTTCTTTTAAATTGAAAATTGAATGTACTTTATGTAAAGACATTTACATTGAAGTATCTATGCACTGTGCCATTAAAATCCTGCTTTATTGAATAATTAATATTTATTATGAAAATAATATCATTGTTTATTTAATAGATTTTGGATGAGAGATATTGAAACAACAGATCTGAAAGCCACTATTTTTAATTATCTTGTGGCCAGGTGAAATTGCACTCTAAGTAATTGCACTTCTAAATTGCACTTCTTAAAGGCACTCTTTCTCACTCCCTGTGTCTTAGTCAAATTGCCCTTTCTGAAAATCTCACAGGCTTTGGTTTTATCTCTATTTGATAAGAGTTGCAGAATAATTGACAGGAAACTTATTTTTAACCAAAGCATCCTATGATCATAAGAGTTTTTAGAGGAAGGAAGGAATTCTTTATCTTGCTTTTCCTGGAATGTAATGATTTCTCTATTCCCATGGAGTTAAGCCACCAGATGCAAGAACAGGGATGCATGACTACCTTGCTGTTTCACTGCATTCCCTTAGATTAAAAAAGTTTATGACACTTACTCAATGAGTCTTTGCTAAAATGTCAGAAAGAACATGCAAAAGAAACAAAATATAGTTCTCTGCTACCTTTAAGATAAGGCGTGTAGGCAAAAAGTGAGTAGGAACTAAAAGTGGAAAATAGAAAAATGAATCAGACTTCCTTTATCCCCATAAATAAGTGAAATCAATCACAGCTAATTCCTTCCTTCTGGGATTCAAAACATGCAGAAAAGGTATTCAATCATTCAAATCATCTATCAGAATGGCATTTATATTGATCTGAAAATAAACTGGGGATCACTGCTCAACAGTCATCAAAACAAAGAAAAAATGTGGTTTTATATGACACTATTCTTCTACACTTATTTCCTATTAGCTGTGTTATTACCCCATTTTAAATCCTAGAATAATGGATTTTAAAAAGGAGACAAATAAAAATTATACCTGCTATAAGAAAGAGGCCTTACCCGGATATAAGCATCCTGCTGGTGTTTGGCAAAGTACAGCATATTGTCCAGGGCTAGCATTCCTGGGGGAGTCTGAGTAAAATCCATTGCTGGGTTCACATGATTCTGCAAAAACACAGTAAGGGTAACATTAGAAAAGCAGTCACATGAATAACTGGACAACTATATAAACATCTGTGGGCAGTGGAAGGAGAACAGGAATGGATGTCAAAACGCAAACTCTGTGAACTATGTATTAGTTTCAGATGTTAGGACACAAGGACAAAAGCACGAGCTTTGTGTCATGATGTCACTGCAACTAGCTGTAGTGTTCAAGTAGCCTGGAATGTTGAGGAAAATGAAATCATTCCAAAAGTTGCCCAGGTTTTAATTCCAACTATCTCCTATCTCAGGAATCCCCTGCTTTTGTCTGACCCTATCTAGGTTTGACATCATCTTCTGAGTTCTCACATTGATTCCTTTAAGGATGGGAATCAGGGAACACACTCTGTGTTAATTACAATGTATTCAGCAAAAAACCCCTCTTCTTTAGTTATAGATAGGAAAGATTCTAATCAACAACAAGCCCATAGCAAACTGAAAGGGAAAATTTAAATTTTCCTTCTCCAATAGTAAATGAAAATAAAATTAATTGTCCTACAGTTTTGGGGCTTAGGAAAACAGTCTCACTGGTAGGAACGGATAAATAATTTTTGACTAACTTCTAAAGTAGGGGTGGGCAACTTTCCCAAGGCTTAGAGTTTTAACAAATTAGTATTTTGGGAGAGTTATATGAAGAGATGGGGGTAAAAAGCTTCTGGGAGGCAAACCACTCAATTTCCTCTCTTAAAATGCCCCTGTTCCCTTTCCAATGACCCTAAAGTGGCAAATTTCAGTAGTGCAATCTTGGGTGCTATGTGGCTACAAACAGAATCTGCAGGTTGTATAACCCTGCTGTAAACTGTGCCTTTAATAACTGCTTGCCCTATAGATATTAGCAGATGATAATGTTCACTTCTATATCTGTCTCTTTAGCAATCCAATGTAAAATGCAGGAACTTCAAAAATGCAATTGTTCACATGCAACCTTATCTTAACCTTATTCAGCCAAGCCTTTGGCAAGGAACAATGAGACAGACCCTTTGCTTCATTGTGCTTGCCATCTTTTACCTTTATCTTTTATTGTTTTATTGTAATTTCATTGTTTGATTGTTGTGAGCTGCCCAGAGTCTTTGAGAATAGTCAGCATACAAGTTTCAATAATGTTAGTACTGCACTAGTGTTCTAGTTTCTGGACATCTGGTGACAAGTGGGCTTCAGGACTGTTGGCTGAGCAACCACGGCCAGCAGCTGCAGGATTACTGGAAGAAAAGTTGGTTACCTGTCGCAAATATACGAAGACTGAAAACAAAGAAATACTGATCTGCTATTATAAATCAAATCCAATGAGAGGAAGATATCTGAAAAGAACGTACCAGTTCTGGAAAGAACAACATCCAGAATCAGAAATAACAGAACAGAAGCTGGCAGATCAACATCAATTTATAATATGAAATAAAATATTCACAGAAGTAGAATTGGAAGGACTGCAAAGGTCTATCCAAGGCAAAGAAATTGAAGCCTTGCCAGAAGTAGCTCAGACTATAGAGGCAAACCAGGGGAGTCAGCAGCATAGGAAGCCAGCATAGTTACTGAATCATTTTCATTCCTAAACCAGGCACCCTCTCCTCTGCCTTCTCCTCAGAAAGAACAAAGCTGTCTCATTAAAATACAAGAGGAACTGAAACAAAGAATAACTGAGAACCTAGAACAGCACAAAAACAACAGAATAAGGTTGCCTGCACTGAAGCTTGTTACAAAGAAACAGCTAGCACAATTATTAAAAGACACCACTACTGTAATATCAAATATAAGCACCAGCTCACTGCAAGAAACAAACCAACTGCTGTACAACATGGCTGCAGTTATAACTGAATACCTTGGATGCAAAATCAACCAACAAGAAAAAGAGCCAAACAGTGCACCACCAAAATGGAAGATCAGATTGGAAAATAAGATTGGCATGCTAAGATCAGATGCAAGCAAGCTAGAACAGATGAAAAAAAAAAAAAAAGCTGAAAAAAAAAAAAAAGCTGAAAAAAAAAAAAAAGCTGAAAAAAAAAAAAAAGCTGAAAAAAAAAAAAAAGCTGAAAAAAAAAAAAAAGCTGAAAAAAAAAAAAAAGCTGAAAAAAAAAAAAAAGCTGAAAAAAAAAAAAAAGCTGAAAAAAAAAAAAAAGCTGAAAAAAAAAAAAAAGCTGAAGAACAAACAAGAAGACCAAAGAATACCTGATCAAGAAATATCACCTAGAAACAACGAAGATCAAAGAAGCACTGGAAATCATAAAGCAGCAAATAGCCAAAAAGATTAGCAGATACAAAGCTTGAATTGCACACTATAGGCAGAATCTCCAGTTTCAAATTAGAAACATTTCTACCAATCTATCAATGGAGAGACTGCAATAAACCAGTCAACACCTGACAAAGAAGAAACAGTGCAGTTCTGGGTGCAGCTATGGAGCAACCCAAAGAAATACAACAAGAATGCAACTTGGATAAAGGAGGTAGATAGGAATAAAAAAGAAGCTGAAATGAAAGAACTTGTAATAACAGCAGAAATGGTGGAGAAAAGGGCAAGGAAGATGAAGAATTGGTCAGCACCAGGTGAAGATGAATTGCATGGTTTTTGGTTGAAACATCTGACTGCTCTGCACTCACTCATTGCTAAGCAGTTTAACATAATGCAAGGAAATGAAATTGAAGATTGGTTAACATCTGGCAACAGATGAAGAATTGGTCAGCACCAGGTGAAGATGAATTGCATGGTTTTTGGTTGAAACATCTGACTGCTCTGCACTCACTCATTGCTAAGCAGTTTAACATAATGCAAGGAAATGAAATTGAAGATTGGTTAACATCTGGCAACACCTACCTGATAATTAAAGATCCAGCAAAAGGAGCAGCACCAGGCAACTACAGGCCAATTGCCTACTTGCCAACAACTTTCAAATTGCTAACTGGTGTGGTAGCTGATGCAGTCCAATAGCACCTAGTTGAAAACAAACTCTTTCCACCTGAGCAGAATGGAAACTGCCCAAACAGCAGAGGGACAAAAGATCAACTCCTAATTGACAAGATGATTTTGGTAAACCGCAAGA